TGCTTTATAAGCATTCTTGTTAGGACTAGTTAAGTTGAAATCACGTTTCAGTCCAAATGATTATGTGTTTATCATTCTGTCTCTGGATAATACAGTCAGGTCAGAAACAAATTAACCCTTACAGTAATGCATGGGTGGGTCAAAGGTCTTCTGTGTATGATATTCCAGGCATTCCCCAAAATCTTTTCATCCTCTTTTACTTTTTGGGAAGATTTAACTTTTGTATTATTACCGTAAAGTGGGCAAAACATGTCCTATGGAAATTCACAGGAATTCTCTTTTTTTCAGACATACTATTCTATTCCTGTCATCATCACGCATAGACCAGTAACCCGAAATGTGCACATCCCACACAGAAATCTTAGTAATCTATTAAGGATTAGGACAATTACACCAACTCCAGCACCCAGTACAAATACATTTAAAATGTGAGATAACTATCAAGCAAGACTTTTATTTTAAATGATTTTATTTGGTCTGCAAATCTAGATTTTATGTTTTTAACTGAATCCTGGTTGCAAAATAATGACCATAGCCAACTAGCTGAACTGTGTCCACCTCAATATAATTGTTTCAGCAAACCCAAGGTCAGTGGTCGTGGTGGTGGGCTACTGAGCGTGCACAGGAAAAACTTTAAATATCATCAAGTACGCCGTGAAGAATTTACCTCCTTTGAAGCTCTCTTTTAAACTTGGTGGCCTGCAACCAATCAATCAATCATCATCAGTTTGTATCTACTCTTGTTTTAAATTATGAGAGTGTGGTTCTTTGTGGCAATTTTAATATTCATGTTGGTGACCCTAACAATGTTCATGCAACTGACTTTTTAAATATTGCCACTTCTTTTAACTTTAAACAACATGTCCATGGGCAAACACATAACCTTGGTAATACACTGGACTTTGTTTTTTACCCTGGGTGTGAGAATGGTTTTCATCCTACCTGTCCAATAGGAGGTTCTGTGTGTCTGTGAATAACTGTGCCTCTTCATTCTGTTCAGTTAAACATGGAGTGCCTCAGGGGCCAGTCTTAGGACCCATTTTATTTTCCTTATATTTGCTTCCCCTTGGACACATTATCCAGAAACATGGTGTTTCTTTTCATATTTATGATGATGTACCTGCCCGTCAGATCCACAGACCCTGGAATGAGTTCACTTACTTGATGTAAAATAATTTCCTCCAGCTGAACTCAGACGTAACAGAGATTCTGGTAATTGGGTCCCAGCAAATGGCAAAGAAAATACTGCCATCTACTGGTTCCCTAGTGAATCGCATTAAACCTTTTGCACCGGAACTGCAGTTGTAGGACCCTTGTTTACTTTGATACTGCCAGCTAGCTGGCTGGCTAGCTAGCTCTTGACAGCCTCCCGAACCCAATTAACCTTACCCTAACCATCACAGGGTGTGTGCCTAAACCTAAGTTATTGATTATATGCATGCTGACCCGTTAACCCTACAGCTGTGCACATCGACCGTGTTTCTGTGCATTATCACCACCAATCCACTAGATGGCGCTGTTGCAAAAGAACTACGGTCCTAGAACTGTGGTCCCAGGATTGCGGGGGGCCTGAAACTGCAGCCTCCGGTACTGCTGCTAGATAATATTGAAAATCTTGGTGTCTGGTTTGACAGTAATTTAAGTTTTGAGCAGCACATCACAAAACTTGCGCAATCATGTTTTTACCAGCTTAGCTATGTTAACTTTTAAGGACAGTGAGACCATTTTACACGCCTTCATCTCATCATGCCTGGATTACTGCAGCAGCCTTTTTACTTGCTTGACCCAAAATTCTGCCAGGCTTTTAACCAGAACAAAGAAATTTGACCACGTCATCCTTGTTTTAGCTGCATTACACTGGCTCCCAGTATGTTTTAGAATTGATAATTTTACTGATCACTTTGAAAGCTCTTCATGGCCTCTCTCCCTGTTATATATCTGACCTTTTAGTCCCATACACACCAGCATATACCTTGAGATCCTCGGGCAGAGGTCTGCTGTTTGAGTCTCGACTGAAACTAAAGGGGACAGAGCGTTTGCAGTCAGGGCCCCGAGGCTCTGGAACAGCCTGCCCAAGGAAATCAGGTCAGCTGAGTCAGTGAACTCTTTTAAGTCCCTTCTTTGAACATACTTTTATAGGAGAGCCTTTCCCGATATATATTTTATATTTCCGGCCTTTCTGTGTGGAGTTTGCATGTTCTCCCCGTGTCTGCGTGGGTTCTCTCCAGGTGCTCCAGCTTCCTCCCACCGTTCAGACATGCGGACTAGGTTAATTGGTGACCCTAAATTGTCCTTAGGTGTGAGTGTGAGTGGTTGTCTGTCTATGTGTGACCCTGCGATGGACTGGCGACCTGTCCAGGGTCTACCCCGCCTTTCGCTCGATGTCAGCTGGGATTGGCTCCAGCCCCCCGCGACCCTGTACGCAGGATAAGCAGTTGACGATGGATGGATGGATGGATGCATAGATATATTTTATATTTACTTTAAACGTGTATTTAGTGTTGTCTTGCTTTTATCAAGTATTTGTTTTATTGTCTTTACACCTGTTAAAGCACTTTGTAACTAGTCTTTGAAAAGTGCTCTACAAATAAAGATTATTATTATTATTATATTGACCAAATCTCAACTGTCCAAAGCATCACCAGGCTTACTTGATAAGGCTGCACTGACATTTTGTATAACATTTATACTTTAATCACACTAATTTGAAAGAGAAGTGCTCTTAAATAATACCTGCATGACACACAACTGCACAGTGTGAGGTACTTTCAACATTGTAAATGACATAATGACAGCACCATATGATATTACGTTTGCCAAACAATATAACAGTAAGAAAACAGCAGGGTTAGGAAATGTATTTTTCTCATCAACATAATGCTGGCAGCACAGGGTCCCTCATCATGACAATACCACACAGTACTGTAAACATTACAAACTTTAAATAACACTAGTGTGGAATTCATATAACTTAATTAAACTTGATTAAAATAGATAAAGATTGCAGATTAATTGTTAACAAAAACCTTTTATTCTAATAGGGTTCATTTTGGACCTACTTATGGAAGAGTGTAGGTCACAATGGTCTATATACAGTATCTAAGGGTAGACTTATGAGAGACTAATGGACTAACATGATTGAGATCTCTGGAAAACATTTCTTATTCTAGAATTTGCCAGTTTTTAAATTAAACAAAAATGCCTGATAATAACTAAAAAGTGATATCACACAGCAACAGGTGCAACAAGCAATATTAAGCCACATAAATTAAGCAACATTTCTTATGAATTAACAACAGAGTGAGCAGCACCAAGGCAGCCAACATGGAGATGTATACACAATGTAAACTCCACTGCAGCTACAGCCCACAAACACATACATAAAAGCAAAATGAGAGCCAACCTGGTTTTTACACATGGAATAGCGCACACGCACACGTTAGGCAACGTGCAGTGGTTGCTGACGTTCTCCTCTGTGCAGTGTATCGCAACAATCATTGAGTTTGCTTTTGTACTCAAACGTCTGAACATCATTCTGAGTCTTGTGCACCACAAAGTCCCCCACAATCTGCTCTAGGTTCAACTTCACTGCTCGTTCATGCTCAACTCATTATTTAAGCACTCAGCTTCTCTGTGCCACTTCGCTTCCTCAAAGTTTTCAAAAGTTTTGAGCCAAATCCTCGGCAGTCAGCTGTGACAGAGATTGTCAAAAGTTCCTAAGTGAGCGTAGAAGTCACAGATGGAGGATCCACCATGAGCATCATAGCCAGACCCAGCATGAACCTGTTGGTGGTTTGATTTGTGTCACTTAGTTCTTGCCTGGTGGTGCATTAAGTCAGTGATTCATTAAGGTAGTTTTTTAAGTATGCTGGGGTACAAGCGCTCAGTGTGTGAATGATGTAGTGTAAAAGCACTTTGAGTGGTTGTAAAGACTAGAAAGATGCTATACAAGTACAGAGCATTTACATTTACAACAATACTAACCATAATCATAACCCGTGATGATGCCATTCTTAATTTTATTGCATTGTTGTGCATGTTGTTTACTAACTGCAAGCCCCGACCTGGGTGCAACCACACCCATCATATCCCCCAACGCTCTGCCAGTGAATGTATACCATTACACATTACAGCAGGTATCTTTTCCACTGTGTCACCTCTCTGGAGCTCTTCCCCTTCTGCACCGGCAGACATACCAGCAGCTTCCTCTCTGATTTCTCTCTGTTCTCATGTACACTGTTCATCACGACTTCAAGTGAGTGAGAGAGGTGATGGAGCAGTGGATAAGACATACCTTTGGTGTGAGAGACCCGGGTTCAACTCCCCACTGTGATCATCCACCATTGTGTCCCTGAGTAAGACACTTAACCCCTAGTTGCTCCAAAGGCGTGCGACCTCTGACATATATAGCAATTGTAAGTTGCTTTGGATAAAAGCATCAGCTAAATGTAATATGACTTCAGTTTTTACTCTGTGTCTTGAAATGTAGCAGTACAATACCTGAAAATAAAAAATGCATAAGTAAAAGTAAAGTGACAGACTATTACAGTACACAAAAAAAGACTTTGTTACAACAAGAGTGAATGTAATTTGTTACTTCCACACCAACCTACAGCTGTGCGCTATAACTCACATATTACAGTATATGCTATAGTGTTACTACTGTGTCTCTCAGCTTCTGCTCTACTCACATCTGTGACACCTGTGTCCATGTGGGTGTTTTTGCAGCTTTTTCATTGACAGACAGTGTAATGATGACAGTATGAATGAGCCCCGCTGGGTCTCGCAGCTGCCATACACTAGTCTCCTCACACTACTGGAGAATGTCAATCAGCTGCCCCCCTGCATGGCCTCTCTTATCACCTGTGTGTGTGTGTGTGTGTGGGTGCCTACACACACACACACACACACACACACACACACACACACACACACACACACACACACACACAAACGTACAGCTGTATGATTGTCACTCTGGTTTGTCATTTTCTTGGCAGGTTTGGCAAAGCCTATGGGGCTAGTTGAGGGGCCAGGAGGCCTTGGCCAGGGGGAGCTGCTGCCACTCTGGGAGAAGACAGTCATGACGCCGAGGGGAAATATGAGGAGTATGGCTACAACGCTCAGCTCAGTGACCGCATTTCCCTCGACAGAAGTATCCCCGACTACAGGCCTAAAAAGTATGTCCACCTCCTGTTTCTTCTCATTTTGTGTCATGTACATTCTCCTTCCAACCACAGCTCTACACCTGTTTTTCCCCCTGGCAGGGTTGTGTAAAGCTAGAAAGACTTGTAACTTGAAGGTTTGCCAGTTTAATCCCTGCTGCTGTTTAAAGGCTCTGTTTTTGTAAAGGCACTCAACGTACAGCAGGACTTTTTGCCAGCATACTGGCATTTTCATCAAGTTTTTTATCCTCGTCTTTTTTAGGTATTTATTGGTATTTTGGTGAATGTCCAGGACATTTACTGATAGATTTGAGTTGCAGTACAAGGTGAGTCAGAAATTATAAGCTTTTCTCATGCTTTTGCTCATACTCTTCCACAGTTCACTATCTCTTCTTTGGTTTTATTCCCTTATGGAGAAATATGAGAAAATATGGTGTTTTTTTCTAAATACATGTAGCAGTGATGTGAACCGTTGTTGATCCAACAAAGGACTGTCAGTATGCACTTTGTGAGTATGCACTTCGTTGAGTTTGTTATGTCCCCCACAGATCAGGGAGAGGTTGGTGGATGGATCACTTGAGGCCAATGCAACATGATACCCAAATTAACTTTAAGTATTTCCTAATGTCCTCATCTTTTTTCAAGACTTACTTTGCAAAACACTGGATCTGGTACCTGCGTGCTAATGAGATGTATGGCATGTCATGTGGATCAAAAACTGCCTCTCCTTGATTTCCAAAAAGAGAAATGCAAATGTCACCCTTGTAAATTTAATGGCTTCCAGTGGGGAACATTCCTGTACACCTGGTGGTTTATGATTTTGCACTGACCACCCCCAGTTTCCCAGTGGCAAAAGGCATGTTGTAAACTTGCACAAACCCAAGATATCACGAGTCACAGAGCAGTGTATTGCATCTAAAAAACATAATTCAAACAAGTACACTTCTGTGATGTTTGGAGTTCATTTTGCAATGGCCAGCATTAATGTTGTTAGCAGATAACATGTTAGCAGTGTAAATAAACTGTTTGTGACCCATTGGTGTTGAAAAGAGCAGCCTTGGACTTTACACCTTTTAACATTTGATATTTCTTTAATATTTAAGGGAAAAAACTGAAATACATCATCTGTAAGGTAACTTATATCAGAGGGCTCCTGTGATTTTTCAAAATCATGTTATTTTGCATTTATAACAAGGTAGATTGGCTTGCTACAAGTCTTTAGTTAGAATCTCTCATATAACATCTTTGTTCAATTCGGACATGTTTGCATTAATTACACTGATGAGACACTGCTTCGTTCAAACCAAATAGAGATGAAAGAAGAGCGAAATGCATCAAGCTGATTAACAAGTTGTGTTTGTCACTTTGCTGTGGAGAGTTTTGAGAAACCCAAAACACAAGTAGAAGAGCTAGCAAGGCTACCAAAATGTAGCTACAGTACGTCATCTCCAGCTTTCTCCGTCTGTCACGTGACTTCTCCCTTGCACATCATAATGGTTCCTAGAGTCTCCCCTTTCACAAGCCAATCCTTACTTCCTGATTCTTCCTCTTTGTCTGTCTTATTGCCTAACTGCACTTAATCCGTCTGTCATGCAGTACAGTCATTTTGGCCATAGGGTATCTTAGAGCCATGGGGAGTCACACAAAAGAAAATTACTTCCGACACGCCTAATCCTAACATGAAAGAACATGCACAAGATTATGGGGATAGTTGAAGAGCTATGTTACAATGCTGCAATTAAAGGAAACTTGAATTACCAATTTTTTTTATGAAAGGGACCCAGTGGACACCCAGCAAGCCTCAATGGTTCTTTTAAAATACATTTTATATTTATAAAGTGAACTACAGCTGTGATACAGTGAGTGGTGCAGGAGATGGACTGGGGAGGGGGGTAATCAGAGCTGCCAGCGGCATTTATATCACACAGTGTCAAAGAACAATGGCGACAGGCAGAGAAACTGGGAGGAAATCTGACGGCCAAGAGAGGTTTCTAAGGGCTTTAGCAGGGATAACAATTCATTTCATCCACCCGGCTTTGTTTCGAGCTCTTTTTCACGCCCAGAAAAATTAGACAAGAGTGGAACAGGGAGGAGGGGAGCTAGTAAAAAGGAGCTCGCTAATTAATAAGAGAGTGCCTGTGGAATTGAAGGATTTTAAGAAATTCTTTTTTATCAACGGATTTAACAAAAAATGTGACTTAAAGCAAAAGGAAAGTGAGTGTTGGGGGTTTGCTGAAGTGATTGTAACGGCGCTGTCTTTGTGATGTGTCTTCGCGTGTGGATTTAGGGCTAGTTTCATGGGTTGTGACTAGATTCTGCAGGTCTGTCTTCATTCACTCTCTGTTAAACAGTAAGATTCTTCCTTCTTCCGTGCTCAGGCTACAATAATCCATCATGTGTCAATTTCTGATATACCAAGTATATTTTGTGCCCATATATACAAGCACATAGTCTCCAAGCACAAACACAACATGTCGTGTTAAACAAGACAAAGCTTCGGTCTATGACAGCTATCCAATAGGCACACTGTATAATAAAGACTTAGTACATTTGTTGTGAAATCAAATGCAATGAAAAGTGCAAACATAGTCTTCACTGCTTTTTGTGTTTATGTCACTGAAGCAGCTCTTTGGAGAACAAGAGAAACATCAAAGCTCTGTATGTAAAGGAATTGTTCTCAGAAAGAAAACGGATATGAAATAGCCAAGCGCAAAACTGTTGCTGCCAGCATTGTTGTGGCACTGGTAAGGACTTTAAGGTTGCCTTAACACCTAACTTGTTTGTTTCAGTTTAAGCAAACTGGTGCGTTTGTGCAGGAGGTTTGGTTCGTTGATGCTGGCGTGATAGTTGTAAGTCGATCTCGAACAGCGACCGCCCGGTGTCGTACTTTTGTGGTGTAAAATCAAAATGGATGATAAGTATGATATGTGATTTAGCATGAATTTAATATTCCAGTATATCCTATTGAATCCATCTTCTGGCTGTGAACTGTCAAGGAAGGAATCTCATAAATTATCTATATATGCAATCTACAGTATATATTTATGGCAATCCTTTTGTAACCATGGTAACACATATGCACATCAGCACGTGAGCGTGGTGAGATTCAGTCAGAATACTAAATGATGCTGTGCTTGTGTCCTACCTACAATCCCCTCGTGGTATCACCTCTTTTTTTGGCCTGTTTCTTCCTGGTCATCTTCATTTATTAAATTGCAGATTAATAATGTTCACAAACAATCAGTTATTTCTTGAGGTCTTTGGGACACCAGAGAACATAAATAGCTCTATGTTCGTTTGTGAAGAGCTGGTGTGAAAATGAACTGGACCAGAACTAAAAGGCATCAATGTATCACGGTGCTGAACCTTGGTCCAGACCACATGAACCGAATTATGCCCTCAGTTTAAGCTGCTACAGCTCTCTGCCTCATACAATATTCAGCACTGTTACATATTTCTGATTTCTAAATCTGATTCTATAATTATGTCCTGCGGGCAAAAGGTGACTGCAGCACTGCAGAAGTGAGGTTAAATGCAGGAACCAGGCACCTCCTGTCTAATGGGCTTTTAATTGAACAGGAGTCATTGTGATGAGGACTTTGATGACTACAGGGAAGCGCAGTCCATCACAACGACTGAACAATCCGCACTTTCTCAAGCCTCTGTCTTTCCAAAACCAATTCATAATAATAATTATAGCCTCAATTGTTGGCTTGCCTCTCGCACAAAAACTTGTAATCCCCTTTCACTGCCCGCTAGCCTGTATTTCTCTCTTTTGTCCTTCACTTCTGCAAGTGATATTCTTAACTGCGATACCAAGGGACTTATGTAGGCTCTACATTATGGTGACTGAGGCTGCCATTCGCTGTCCTTGGGAGGCTTATGTATGATAACAGCTCATCGGCTGTGAAGAGAAAAAACAATAAAGGCAAGCAAGCTGGTAAGATTACTGATGCAGACAAAAGAAACAAACGTTAAAAATGTTAAATGTAACTTGTGTCACTCACAAATAGAAAAATGCTATTCGAGGCATGAAACCTGCCCTCCATTTCTCCTCCAAGAGGATTCTTATTCAATTACACCTAATCGCATCTCTATCTCTGTCATCACTTTGTCGAAGATTTGATTTATATTTTGCCAAAATAGTTGTTAAACCCAAAACTATATTGAAGCACAACAGATGCTCAGCTTGCCCATGGACACTTCATTGTGTGTTTGTCTGCCTGTTTGAGGGTGATAACCAGAAAGGGAGGCTAAAGAAACAGTCTTACCTCATCTCCTAAGCGTCTGATACAGCAGAATGGGATCGGAAGGTCTCCGCGGTGCAGGAGCTCCTGCAGCAAATTGTTGCTCTTTCCACTGCTAGAGTTTATCTCCTTGATGTGGGAGGGGAGGGAGGGGGGGAAGAGAAATGACAACGCAAACGATTATCTTTCTGAGAGGAGTGCTCGCGGATTGGAAAGTCGTTTTGGTGTTGCCTGCACTGGGTGGGTTATTGGAGGTTAATGTGAAATTTCACAGCAAATAAGAGCGGCCAGTGGGGAAAAAGTCAGAGGGAGCGACCGGGGCTGCAGGCTGGTGGAGTAGGAGAAGGGGGAGGTGTGATAGGAATTCATCTTAATCTGCCGCTCTGTTTCTGTCAAAACTTGTTCCGGGTCAAATTATGAGTGCTGTCCAGTGAGCTCAGTCCCATTACAAACAGATGAGTCGATCGCTCATCCTGTTACGGCTTTACTAGGCTTCCCCGCTACTGCAGACAGGTACAAATTTAAGGCTGAGCGATGCCCTAAATTGGATCCAGTAACTAGGGCAATGGAACTACAATATTACTTTACGATCTCGACACTGACACAGCCTCACACCACATCTCAACTAGAAGCAATGAGGCTGCTTTGCCCTGTCTGACATTTTCAAGATATTACTCTGGTAATAATCATTAAACACAGCCTCTCTACTAGTCGTATACGTGAACAGGAGTGAAATATGCATTGCACTTTATTTTGCACAGTTGCCAT